GTGCGTGAGTGCGGTAAGTTGAGAGGCCATAGCGAGTAAGAGAGGGCACAGCGGAGCGCGAGAGCGAGGGCGAGGGCAAGAGCAAGAGCGAGAGCGACAGGTGTAGGTAGCCAAACTCTATGATATTCACGACTGTATGCACGTTTTGAAGTGATTCCCTCATATGCCTCTAAACCGCGACAGAGTGACACAAGTGGGCCACGGTAACTCGCCGACCCCCTGAAGCCCACTGGCCATCCATCAACCACCCTGAATGCCCCACCTGCGGTACTCTGTCGGCGACACCTCCAGCTCCTTCTTCCCCGTCTTCAGATTGACGACCGGCTCCACCACCACGTTCACAGCGGTTTCCCACAGCCGCCGCCTGCCGCTCCGGCGCCAGGTCGGTCTGTCGCGGCTCCGTCTCCGGGTCGGTCGCCTGTGACTCAGACCCCGGCGCCCACACGCATCGCAGGTCCAGCCGGGAGTTGCCGGTGACGCAGACCAGGGTCTGGGCGGCACCGGGCGCCGCCGCCGGCGAGACCAGGTCGTGGCTGTGAGCCACCTCCGTCACGTGGTGGCCCATGAAGGTCATCAGCCGGCAGATGACGTCATGGACCAGCAGCTGGCGCTCGTCCGTCAGCGTTGTGTCGCGGTGGCCCGGTCCCGTGTCCAGGAACAGGGCTATGGACTGTGAATGGCGCAGAAATGGAGAAAACGCATTACGTGAATTATTACCCCGAGGTGCCCGACAAGTACAGTTTAAATCAATTAAAAGATGTCATAGATCTGTTGTAACAGTCTGCTCTACTGCCACAGATCTGTTGCAACAGTCCGCTCTCCTGACACAGATCTGTTGTAACAGCTTGCTCTACTGCCACAGATCTGTTGTAACAGTCCGCTCTACTGCGCAAGTCCACGATTGACATGATGTTAAGCTGGTACTTACCGACCTTGTCCCCATTTCTTTCTTCATATTTATGATTGTCTGGATGGCGCCGATGACTACCGCAGGCTTTGCCAAGGTCATCAGAATTCTGCTGCCGTCCAGCTCCGCACATGCAATCTGGTATCTCCAGTCCCTCGAAACCTTCGGCAGCAGCTCACACAGCTGAAAATGATGCTTGGTGTGAATACACCCCCTGTGAACTATTCATTTATAACAACACTGGAGAAGAGACTTTGCTTACTCATGGACAGGCGGTTTTAATGGTTCCGCGGCTGAATTTCTAAATCAAATGTTGCTAACGACTACACTTCTACGCCATGGCTTCGGCACAAATACACATATGCGACAATACTTTTATACAACAGAACTTGTAGCGCAAAGACTTAACACCAATGCTTACGAGCGCCATTGCTTTCAGTGCAAACGCTTCTAGCGCATGAGGGTCTAAGCGACAGAACTTCTAACGCAAGAACTTCTCAGCGACATTACTTCACTTACTACATCACAACGCAGCATTACTATATAATAAAAACACGATCTTACGTAAGCTGCTGCGCGACAACACATCTAACGCAACGTTTTTTTACAAGATATTCAGAGCGACCATGGTCTTGAAGACAGCGCATTCTTCAGCAGGTCAAGAAGCCTAAAACTCAGAATACTGAGCATTTCAGGTGGCACCTTCTATATTGCACAGAGGGCCCACCACATACTTCATCCTAGTCTAAATGGTCAGGGCAACTTTCATTAATACTGGCCAGCTTCTCCTCTGCTCCATCTTAACTGCTTATCCAGTGAGCCTCAACCTTCCTAGCTGACATTAGGACACATTCAATGGTGTCTTGATCCACTCCCAAATATAGTGTTATCATTGAGTGTCACTTTAGGCCAATTACACAGGTTCAGTCATGTCATGTTAAAATACAAGTCATGCTGGGAAAGGTTAGTCATTAGCAGTAACTGCATCAGAAGTTCTATTGTGGAACTGGGATAAGCATCTGTGATTGGCACAGCACCATAATGGCAGCTTAGGCCATTTAGTGACATATGCATTGCAAGTTTGAACCAACAAGTCACTAGACTTTGTGACATGTTACTAGCACATACAAAAAATAGCTAGCTTAATCCAGCTAAAAAATTACAATATCCTGGAACATCTTTCTAGACTAATAAAGACTGAAGTAGTTTAACAAGTTGCAGGACAAGAATGCATGCAGGACAATGCCTCACAAAGTGCATTGAAGCTGAGCCATGAAAAACTATGACATATACCCTAAAATTTGCCAGCCAGGATGTTTCTCCCGGGCTCAGCCCACTTTGTCTCAAAGTTGAGGGTCTCTGAGTCAAATTTTGGAGGCTAAAGCCTGCTCCCCCAATTGGATGGAAAATTACACCCTCGCACACATGGGTCCCCCCATTAAGATTGTAGGGAGGAAGCTGTTGAACAGGTATTGTGGATCAAGGTGTAAATACTGAAGTTGAATACTATAGAACATATACTGATGATCACTGATAACAGTAAGCATGGAAAATGTCAGGCGTTTGGGCTAATCCACAGAGACACAGAAAAAAATGAGCTTTGCGACACAAAAACAAGGAATCAACAAAATGACTGGGTCTGATAATATATTCCTTTACGCCCACAATGACTTCATCAATGCGTATGATCTCACCTTGCGTAGCGCGTCCGAATATGGGCGGGTCTGCCCTTCATGATTATTTGGGAATGATAAAATCATATGGCATGGCTTGAGCGATGACCGCTTTCGCAAAATCTCTAGCGTATTTTTCTTCTCCACTCGATTGGAATGCAAAAATTCACTCACGAACGCCTTCAGATCGCACTGCCAATGAACCCAAGATAGCATGTTTGCACCCCCGGCCCTGTCCACTATCACCACCAAAACGTATCCTAAGCAAAGGCATTAGTACGCCCCCAAAGCGTAATCGCGTAATGGGCTTTTTGACGCTTCAACCAATGTCGTATAAGCGCTGTAATAGTATATCGCAATGGACAGTGTCTAACAGACTGGCATATAAAGCAGATACGCTTGTGCTCCAAAAGTACCCGTTTGGTCACTCTGAAACCTTCTCCATTCGATGGAATGTAACAAGATGAGTCATAAAATTTTAATATTAAGATCTGAACTGAGGTTAAACATTTTAAAAATGCGAAGGGAAAATTCATAATGCAAAAGCAGACAACCCTGATCTCAGAACCAGCTGCGCCGATTTCTGTGAAACCTTCGCTATTGGATGCACCATACCTGATTCCCTGATCAAGTTGCAACAGCGGTACCTCTTACAGCAATACCTTTTCCTTTTATGTTTAGGTCCAATAAAACGCGCGATTTGCTTAGGCTGACCGTGTTATATTAGTCAAGTCATTTGTCAATTGAGTTTCTTCTTAGGGGCGGAGAGATTTCTCCCCTGAGAAAATTCTCCTCCTGTGCAGAAAATTGAGTATGTTTTGTTTTGTTCTCTGTGTGTCCTTGATCAACAAAAAAGGAGACGACAACCATGCATCTGCGCACAAAATATGTATAACTGTTATTGTTGTAATGGACACGACCGCAGCAAAGCAAAACCAAATGCTCGCGCGCTTGGGCACTGCCAAAAACAACTGCATGGCGTAATGCTATACATCGCAACTGCCAGACAAATAAGAAAGTTCAAGCAGCAAGGACTCCAATGACAATTGCAATAGCTATGATCTGCATGAGTTGTCCGTAGGCTGAATTGAGAAATTTGTGACATTTAATGACTTGACCTGGCCTGGGGTCTTCAAATATTTAATTGCCGAGGGGAAATCAGGTATGGCCCATCCAATAGTGCAGGTTTCACAGCGATTGATGCAGTAAATTCTGATAGCTGAGTTGTCTGTTTTTTCATGTGAGATTTTCCATCCGCGTTTTCAAGGTGCTTGACCTCAGGTCAGGTCTCGGTATTACCACACTATGACTCACCTTATTAGATGGACTCGATTTGTAAAGGCTTTAAAGCGATCATACGAGCCGTTTCCGAGTACAAACGTGTCTGCTTCATATGCGGGTTTTTGAAAATGCACCACGGGTGTGGCGCAAGCAATCTGAAACTGCTGCCTGACGCATTACGAGTGGATTACGGACGTTAAGGACTGCGCGCGGGCACAATGCCACCAACAGGTATAACCCGCCAAGAGATCTATCAAATCATCGCCGGCTCTCAAGCTGAAAAATAACCCAGGACACGGCGTATTTACACAGATAAGATGGAAAGAGAACCTAAACAAAAAAGGCTTAGCCTGTCCCAAAATGCACCAACAAACGGGCTTCTGTCCGGATTTGGGTCTCTATCTGTTCGAAGATGTTGGGCCTGGAACGCCAGCTCGGGGTGCGGGTGGGGGAGACTGACCCCCCCCCCCCCCGACCGAATGGGAAATCACACCCCTGAGCGAGCAATAAGGTTGGAGATTGCAAGAATTTCATCATAAGATATTCACCCATGATGAATTTATCATAAAATGCTTATCATCCACCATAAATACTTATCAAATCATTCATAAAATGCTCATCCCAGACGTTATAGTTGAAAAACTGGGGCCGGAAGGGACGAAGCAACCTTTGTTCTAGAGTGCATGGAAATATTTCCAGCGAGGTGTCTTGTAACTTGTGCGCAACGTGCACGTAACCACGTGACCGCCCGCGGTGCCATACTCAGGTCCTGATGCGGCACATGCGATATCCGGCACGCAGTCGACTTGCGGTATCTTCAAGACGGAGGTCTTCCTATATAGATGTTAAAAGGTACACAACAGGCTTCATTGGGGTGACTGGCCCTTTCTGGCCTATTCGGATAAGTATTGAGGCATCCAGAGTTCATGATGTCTGAAGGTGAAAGCATCTAAATTCGCAGCATCCATTTTTCATGACATCTAAAAATCGTCCAATGTCCATGCACAGAGAAAGGTCACACCATCCTAGCTTGCAGCATTAAAAAAATAAACATCCAAGGTTCATAACATCCAGCGTGCATACCACCCAGCACTCATGACATCCAAAGGTTGGAGAGTTGTACCAGCTAGTTCTTGGTAAATCTTGAACTATTGGTTTGGATATTACCCGATAAATGAATACCATAGCCGAATGTGGACGAGTGACGTCATGCGGTACAATGCTGTCCACGACACGACAACACAGCTAGACGACAGCTATTAAACCACGACACGTGGACATTGATAACATGCTGTCTTTTACCGTAAACCTCACCGCATCAGCACGCTTTTGGCAGCAGCTGCGTATTAAAAAATTCGGAGCGTTGATCTCCGGTTCGTGACCTCGAAGATCTCAGGATGTTCGGCATTAGCTGCTCGGTGTTCGTGGGAGGCTCTTGTCGGGGTACCCGCCGCTTTTTATTGCGGGCTGTGGATACAATTCCCCCGTCATGTTTGTCTCCCTTACTTGGCGATGCTTCACAAATCGTGCTGCTGATAGAATTGATGCTTGATGAACAACCATCTGGTTTGTGAGAAATCCACGCATAAGTCCGACGATGATGGAGCACGTTTCGGAGGTTACCGCCGTAGTGGAACAGACTGGCATCTTTCTGAGAGCGTAAGTCGGCGCAGCTGTAGGGCAGTTAGATTCGGGTTGCGTTATTTATGTGCTTCGGTAATCAATTATGGACAATGTAGCGCGCCTAGGGCCACATGACGGACATGTGTTATGGTAATTCGATGTTCGAATGCAGCACCGTCGCCAGTCAAAAAAAGAACGTTTCAACACAGACATTTGCATTGCAGCTATGACAATAGCATTGGAGTGTTATTGCGATCGCTCTTGGGAGTTGACAGATGTTGTGTTCCGACCGTACGTTGCGGGCACTCCGACCCACCCGAGTGTACCTGGCGGCGATTATCGGTTGGGTTATCATTTCTATGCCTTACGATTGCCCCTTTCATTTGCAAAAGCCTTGCGAGTCTGCGTCCTTTCCAAGACCACAGCTTCGCTGCAGCTGGCACATCGCAGCACGCACGGTAGCTCTCCTCATCGCATCCCCCGCTCCCAGCAAAAAATACAGTGTCAAATGCCAAGAACGGTCATTGCCAGAGCGGTCAGCCACATCTCAGATCCCACAAATCTGCTCCGCGCATTGCGATGTCGCATGGAGGTATTCGAGACATAAATCACGTTTGGACTCACATTTTCTTAAAGGATTCGTTGTCACGCCGAGCGAATTGGCCCAAGACGGAAAGATCCCATTTGCTCATCAAGCTCCTTGGGCGGAGTTAATCAGGCGCCTTCACGCCCTGTTCTGGCGTTGTCTGACCCCCGCGAGTGAGACTAGATTTCGTTGCAGGCTGCGATACCATACAGAAAATTGTCATCTTAAGTAATTGTCGCTCTGTCGGGTACTAGCCAAATGAGGGAAGGAGACGGTAGCGCTGCACTGTTTCTGCTCATGGCCCAGGAGTTGAGGCACCTAAAATGCTGTGATCTGTGCTCTTCCTCTGCTGGGGCAGTGCCAAGAGCCTGTGTTTAGGATGTTCAGTTCAACACTGATCTCTTTTACAGATGGCAATGCGTCGTAACGGTGTGAGTCCTCAGCCAGCAACAGACCTTTTTAGGCTTTCTGTAAGGATGGCTGTTTTTATTCCCCATTTTTAAGGTGTGTAGCTAACTGCCGTCAGTCTCGCCGTAACTCGATGTCTGGAATCAGCGACGAAAACAACAGGCGTGTCTAATTACGGGCTTTTTTATTCGGCTGACTCCCATGCAGTGTATCACTGAATACTGGCTCACCGGGCCAGGCGGCAATTTGCCATGTTAAGGCGTCCAATTCAACATATTTTTGGTTAATCCACATGCACACGATATCATAGTGGCAGTCCTATCTGACGGCAGTGTAAATCTCTCATCGCCGATATGACCTTGCTTGTGCAAAGCACCCCGTCACGACGCATTACTAACTGTGGTCCTCTTGCCAGTAGTGTGATGGCCTTCATACGGTGGCACGTGGAAAATGTCAAGCATTGTGCGCGAAGAGTTCGACTGTGTGCCTTTGTTGACACTGCTATGGGGTGGTCAGCTCCCAGTATAACACACTCGTCAGATCAAGATATCCATTTTATTCGGTTGACTCTCCCACAGCGTATCTCTAACTGCAGGCTGGCCGGCTGCGATCTTCAGTGCCGCCGCAGCTGAGATTTGCGAAGTTGCGGCGTCCAGTTTAAATTGCTTTACTCGTGCGCGGCGGGTGTGACCATATGCATAAACAGTGCGATTTTGTGTATTCGACGGCGCTCATACTGCATGTTGAGCTGTCAGTACAAGACAATGGCCAGATTAAGAAATATTTCTATTCGGTCGACACCGACAGCGTTGCAGCCATTACTGGCCGGTCGGCCCAGCGACGAAATTCAAAGTTATGACGCCCAGTTTGAGATGTCTGGAGTTATATTCTCCGAAGATGGCTTATGGTTTAAAAACAGACATGACAATTTAATAATTCAACACGCGCTTGGGTGGGGATCAATTTCCCGCTATATCTAGGTGTACCTGTCAAGGACTCTGACCTATGATAGGTTAAAGTCAGACCATAGCTGCCAGTTAAGGCAGTCCCCTGGCAATCGTTCAATCTCATGCGACAACGGAGTACTAGACTGACCGATTTATTTTTCATGCAACTCATTAGGCGACAAAGCAATTGAATTTAGGACTTCGACGAATTGCATTGACCTTGGGTCAGGTATGAGCGTCAAACCGAGGTTAAAACCC